TTTTCTCACTGACAGAATGTCTTTGAGCAGTATGTTGCTACAATCAGCTCCATAAATGGCACCATTAGATGAATCTTTCACTGTATCCATGACATAATTCAAGAGTTCTTGACATTTTAGCCTGGGTGCTCTTTTATTTGCACATTTGATAAAGTATTTCACCAAGCTACTGATTTCTTGCATCTTTTTCTGCCTGGAGTATTGTGTTGAAGCCGACACATTTGGTTTTGCTGCTTTCAGACATTCTGTTTCTTTCTGAATATATTTCTGGAGAAATCTGAAAACAGCATCCCAGTTCAAATATTTTCCTTGCTTGGCATCTGAATGTCGATCTAAATGTTGAACTGTTTCAGGATCCCGAATCAGACGCTTAAATTTCTCAACTTCTTTCCTTCGTTCTGTAGCTTTATCATGTTCTAGTTGACGGCAGCAAATAAGCAGATCATTAAGTGCTAGACTCATGGTTCAGTATTTCAGACCACGCATCATGTCTATTCCCGCTTCCGGTTCAAACCTGGCGTGACCGCGCAGCGTCCATCTCCAAAGGAAGCAGCCGGGTAAAGCGGCATGGAGTCTTGTGGCATCCATGAAACTACCTTCAACTCCATCATGAAGTGTGATGTTGACATCCGCAAGGACCTCTACGCCAGCACAGTGCTGTCCGGCGGTACCACCATGTACCCAGGCATCACCAACAGGATGCAGAAGGAGATCACAGCGCTGGCCCCCAGCATGATGAAGATCAAGATCATTGCTCGCCCTGAGCGCAAATACTCCGTGTGGACCGGTGGCTCCATCCTGGCCTCCCTGTCCACCTTCCAGCAGATGTGGATCAGCAAGCAGGAGTACGACGAGTCTGGCCCCTCCGTCATCCACCGCAAATGCTTCTAGGCGGACTGTTAAGTTGCGTTACACCCTTTCTTTATAAAAAAAAAACCTAACTTGCGCAGAAAAAATAACAAAGGATGAGAATTGGCATGGCTTTATTTGTTACTTTTTTGTTTCTTTTTAAAATTTTTTAATGTGGTTTTGTTTTTTGGGTTTTTTTTGCGCTTTACTCAGGATTTAAAAACTGGAACGGTGAGGGCGACAGCAGTTGGTGTGGAGCAAGAATCCCCCCAGTTCTCCAATGTGGCC